GACAAGATTAGGAAAATACGTATCCTAGTAACTGTTTTTGACCATAAATTATTAATTATAATAATTATTAGTGTCCATGGGTGACTGAGGATCCATGGGCGGGTAACCTTAATTGGGGTATAACTTTAACAATTTTTAACTTGATAATTAAAAAGTTCTTGACAAAACTCTACTAAAAAAAGTTGTTGAGTTCAATGAGCTCTATAACTGATTAAAATTAATGTACTTATTTCTGAGACACCCTGTATATTGTATGTTGTATCATCTCTAAGTCAATGTTCTTATCTGACCAAAAGTTTGAAGAAGTGTGTTATTTCCGATATTTGGTCAAATTTAATGGTCAAATTTTTTTCAGGAACATTTTTTGTTTATTTATTCATTAATTTATTTTAAAAGCATTTCTTCGTTCCTTCCAAAATGTTAATAATGTCATTCCTACAAACTATTATTTTCGTAACATGCTCTTATTTTTTAGACATAATTGCACAGAATGTCTCAAAAAATGTACAGATCTATTTATTTTATGCAGCTTCTTAGAAGCACCTCATATAACTTCCTTGAAATTCCGAACACATCTTTCCTTCAGAAAGTAATATGACATCACAACGAAAGAATTCATAAAGTGTCATAAAGCAGCTTGTTTAATTTTTAATTATCACGTTTTAATTTAAAGTGACATAACTGCTTAGTAATACGACTCACGTTAGTATATAGACCGAATTCCAAAAAAATTTTAAGAACGATTTTTAAATAATCTATATCAATAAATTCATTTTCTCGAGACTTTATTTACTACTTTTTGAGACGACTTTATTCATTTTCTAAAAGATCTGAATCAACGAATGTTAGTTAAAATTTTATGATTTCTACATCAGAGTGAAAATTTCGAAAAGCTCATTCGGTTATTTCTGTCCAAGTTTAATTTTTTTAAGATAATCCTTATAAAGTGGGTTATTGAATTGCATCTTAAAGACCTTGAAAATATATGTATTCGAATTAATCAATTACCAAACGTAAAACAAAAAGCGATAAGCCTGATATGTGTAACACCAGATGTACTTGACTCTTCCCACTCACATAGAGTGGCTATACACACATAGGTCGCTTAGTAACTAAATTGTCACTGTACTTTGTTATATGATAAGTAGCAATCTTATTTTAATTTTTTAAAACTAACACACGAAACGTAATAAATATGTAACGAATAGATTTATTAGCTAAAGATATTAAATACAATGGTGCAGAAGCTGCTTGGGTGTTACATATTTACGACATTAGCATGTTTCATTACCTGTAATTCAACGGTCCACACATATCTTTATTTCAGCTTATAGAGGTTGTCATAAAAAGTAAATAATATTCGCATTTTTTTCGAAGAAGCTGTATTTGTTCGAATGTACTTCAGGGGCGAGAGAAGTTCTGTCTAAAGAACTTTGGACTATTTTCTTAGTTACTCATAACCTTGCTCGAAATTTAATTTGACAAGTTTGAATTTTGACGCGCATGGTTTAATCAACGGAATAAAAAATATTGCCGGAGCCTACTCTAAGCTGAAAACTTTTTAACCACCATTTGACGAATGCTAGTTTTATATTATATTGTAATGTACTGAGTGTACAAAAATGTAATACTTTAATTCAAAAGCTTGATGAAGATAATATTTTTATCAATAAGTTGTGTGGTACAAAAACAAGGGAAGCTGAAGCTGAAGCAAGGGACGAAAATACCTGCCGTCAAGAAATGTATTATATTATTTTTCGATCATGCAATGAAATTCGCCGTTTACGGTATGTACTGAACATGTACCTTCTATTTCTGATCTTCAGTTTTCACTTAAGACTTAATAGTAAAATAAAAAATAATAATAGTACACAAAATCAATGTCAATTCATAAACCATAAGATACAAGAGTTTGCTATTTTATAAAATACTAACTTTTCGCCCGCGGCTTCCCTCGCGTAGACGATTCGTTGTGTTGAAGAGTATTATTACCAAGCTTCAAGTAAAATATGTATTGAAGGGCATTAATACAGAGTTTTCTGTGAAAATCTACATACAAGTATTTTTCCTGAAATTTTGTCACCACCTTTCATCTTCTTATGGGTGAAATCTCAAAAAAATCTAAAATACATGTTTCATTATTTGTGTTGAAGAGTATTAGGTAATACCAAGTTCCACGTACAAATTTAGAGTGGAAATATTTTTTCCATACAAACTTCGCCACCACTTTTCACCCCCTTAGGGGTTGAATCTCCGAAAATGCTTTAATACGTGTTTCATTATTTGTATAAAGAGCATTAATACCAACTTTCACGTGAAAATTTAAATTTACAGTAGAAATATTGGTCCGATACAAATTTTACCACCCCTTTTCACCCTCTTAGGGGATGAATTTGGAGAAATCCCTTCTTAAACGATGCCTCCACTATAAAATGAACATTCTCTCCAAATTTCAAATTTCTACATACAATCAGCGGTTTGGGCTGTGTGTTGATTGGTCGGTCGGGACATTAACTTTTATATATAGAAAAATTGATCTAAAGGATTTAGACAGTACTTCCCTCGCTTTCAGAACCGTATCTTTATGTCTGTCATAGATTCTTCTCATTAGAGTTCTGTGATGGGATATTTCAATAAATCTTTCACACTGGAAGTCACGGCTCGTTCGTACTTTGATTAATAATAACTTGACTGATTCATTAATTTTTTTGAGTCACCCTGTATAAGCAGATCTAAAAAATATGAATGCGATGATAAATTACAAGTATAGTCTGATCTAATCAATAAAATAAATCGATTCAATCATAATTTTTTTTAGACACCCCGTATAAGCAAATCCAAACAATTTTAATGTAGTGTAATCACAAGTATTGTCTCCTCATACTTTGCACATTTAAGATAGGATATATTCAGCGAAATTTTGAGGTGACGTCATACATTTTTTAGGGAACATGAACAAATACATTTTGACTAACCATTTACCATGCGCCTGATAACTTTAAAATATTTCCAAGATTTGAAAGCATTCGGTTCTGTAGTACTTGATTAAATCAATAAAATAAGTTCCCGCATTCATTATTTTTTTTTAGTCACCCTGTATATGCGAATCCAAAAAATTTGAATGGAATGATAAATCACAAGTATTGTTTCATCATATTTTGTGCATTTTAGACAGGATTTATTCAGCAAAATTTTGGGGCGACGTCATAATTTTTTTTAGCGGGGATGAGCAAATACATTTTGATCAAAAATTTACCATACTTATGATAACTTTAAAACATCTTCAAGATTTCAAAGCAATCGGTTTTGTAGTTCCTGATTAAATCAATAAAATAAATTTACGCAATCATTAATTTTTTTGGGTCATTCTGTATATGCAGATCCAAAAAATATGAATGGAATGATAAATTACAAGTACAGACTCATCATATTTTCTACATTTTAGATAGGATTTATTCGGCAAACTTTTGAGTTGACGTCATTAATTTTTTGGAGGGGATAAGCAAATATATTTTGACTAAAAATTTATTATGCACTTTATAACCTTAAAATATCTGCAAGATTTCAAAGCATTTGGTTTAGCAGATTCAAAATTAAATTGGAAAATGTTGTTTTATAATTTTGATTTTTTTTCCAAAACTGCATGCCTAGGACTATGTTCTTTTATACAATGTAAAACCCATTTGCTACGTACAATTTTGACGTGACGTCATCGCATCAGTGGTGAGGATGATTAGATAAATTTTGGTTAGTGTTTTACCATCTACATGATATTCCTAATATAAATACAAAATTTCACAACAATCGGTCCAGTACTTTCGGAGATTTTCTGTCTAATAAAAATCCAGGACGGCAGACAAACGGACAGACAGACGAAAACGGGAGAGCTAATTCTTCGTCTTCTAGGGATCATGAAAGATCGAGAAAATGTAAAAGTAGAGAGTCGGCCGACGGACTCGATTACAATACTTCCTTTGCTTACGCTCGGGAAGTAAAAATAGCAATTATTATGGAAACTTTTGAGGTGAGGTCATCAAATTGTTGGTAAGGATGATCAAACAAATTTTATCTACACAGTATTCCAAGCATACATATAAAATTTCACAAGAGGCAGTCCAATAATTTCGGGGACGACAGACAGATGAAAATGGGATACCTAATTTTCATACTCTAGAGCTCTTGAAAACATGAACGTAGCCATTCGACGAATTACAATACTTACAATACTTCCTTAGCATACGCTTAGGGAGTAACGAGTAACGTTTGTTTCCGATCAAAAGTAGCGATTAATACTACTGATATGAAACTTCAGTAGCTGTATTAGACAGACTTGTTTTCTTCTTAATTTCTACTTCCCGAGCGTAAGTTAAGAAAGTATTGCATTCGAGTCCATTGGGCGATTATTGCTTTCATATTTTCTTGATGGGTCCCTAGAGTACGAAAAAATGGGCCTCCTGTTTCCGTCTGTCTGTCTGTCTGTCCGCAGTCTGTATCCATTTTTGTTAGACAGAATATCTCCGAAAGTACCGGACCGCTTGTTGTCAAATTTTGTATACCTACGTATTAATAACTAACTAAACTTTGTCCAATCATCCCCACCAATAATGTGATGACGTTACCTCAAAGTTGTACATAGTAAATGGGTTTTAAATTATATAAAATAACATAATGTAGTTTTATTTGATCTTTTTTAAATGGCAAAAAACATTGTAATACATTTTGGAAAATGTGAAATTTATTTGTTCTATGAAATGTTGTCTCTATTTATCATTAGTTGTTTACCACTTGTGCATTGATAGTAAAATTAAATAAAAGTAAAAATAATTGTATAAAATATTTAACTGAAATAATTAAAAAAATATTTATATTTTTCCAAATTGTATTGATGCCGAAACCTGTTAATAATTTACTAGAATTTCTCATACATTTCCTTAAAAAAATACGCAATATAAAATTGTATAAACGTAGTTTTCTTTAAACTGTTTTTTTTTTTGTTTCAGGTGATTTCGGCAGATATCAGATGTGGCAATTCACTCTCCACATCCTCTCTGCTGTAACTGCTGGCCTTCACATGTTGTCTTTGGTAACCGTGGCCGCTATACCTGAACACAGGTCTGCAACAACCCTTTCAACATACCTCACTTCTCACTTTTTATCTTAACAGATGCGAGATTCCCGACGTAGATGTGAACCACACAATGACACAATTAAACGACACAGAACTGGCATTATACATCCCTACGTCTCCTATGGGGGGTTTCGATAGTTGCAGCCTCCTGAACATCACGACCAACGATTCTTACAAGTGTGATATATGGGTGTACGACGACACCTACTACAAGACTTCAAGAGCAATCGAATGGAGCTTTGTCTGTGATAACCGCTGGATGGGCGCTGTCGCTCAGTCGATCTATATGTTTGGGGTATTCACCGGGGCTGTCACTCTTGGCAATATGGCGGACAAATTTGGACGAAAACCCATATTCGTCTGGTCGGCTGTGTTGCAGTTAGTTATTGGTGTTGCGGTGGCCTTCACACCGGATTATTATTCATTTTTGGCTCTACGATATTTATACGGGATTTTTGGATCTGCGGGCAGCTATATAACAGGTAAAGTTGGAATGATAATTAAATTAATAGAATTAACTGAGATAAACTAAATGACCAGAAAATGGTAGCCATAGAATCAGTTTTAGCGATAAGGAAACAAAACATGTGATCATTTGCTCCACTGATGTATTTTAAAACATTCTTTAAGTTTCTATTGGTGCAATTAAAAACCAGTAATTATGTAGATTTGTTGTTGTTACAAGCAACAAATGGTTTGACTGAAACTTACCAGAATATTTGAAAAATAATGATAAATATTTTTATTTTAATAACACAAACTGAAAAATAAAACCTCTTGTAAATACTCGTAGGTGTAGAAACTGGAAACTATTCATTCCAAAAATTGACAACGTCGTCCCAAAGTTTTGTCAAGTCAGTAATTTTGCTTGAAACTTATAGCTAGGATTTGTTTTCTTCTAGTTTAAAAATTTACTAATCTCTTTATGGGATAAAAGAGATAAAACATGCAGGACGAAATTTCGCAATTTATCATAGAACCTACATTAGAACTATAACTTCTTTGAACTTTTGATAAGATACCAACATTGATCTATTTATTACTGAATATCGATTCAATTTTGTTTATTCATCCTGTCCAACTCAAAAAAAAAAAATTTAACTGATTCAGCAAAAAAAGTCCTCAAAACGGAATATTGTTTGTGCCGTGGTAAAATATCGGATTTTTTGTTTTTTTTTTTTTTCGTTATGTCGTAGTGTTTGTCATCGTGTTCGAGACAGTTGTCAATTCGATGTCAAACTCACAGCTTTCAAAATTCATTTCGAAATAAACATACGGAAAAAAACAAAATCTAGTAACACAACACTCTTGGCCAGGTTTTTATTTAGACCCCCGTCATTTGTGTTATTTGTTTCTGCAGGTGTCTCGAAAAGGTTAATTAATATGAAGGCAATTTATTTTATTGATTAAATTAAATTAAATAACAAACATCAACAACATTTTATTGATTTATACGTTTCAAAGGATGCGCGATCTGGTTTGTATTTTGGTAATATAATTTTAATGTATTTATTAGCTTACAGGAAATGTATGTTATTTGAATTAGTTTGTATTTTAAATTTTCTTAGAAACGATCCATCCATCTATCAATTTTCGCAAGTTTTTTTTAAGACAGTGACGTTACATGTTACTCTCTACATATCAAAATTAATGTATTTATACCCACCGAAAATTTTATGACGCTACCTCGACAGAATTTTTGAATATAACTTTGCCGAAAAATGCACCATTGGAAAGGATATTTCTTATATTCCAGTAATTGTTTTTAATCCCTTATACGCATGTTAAAAAAATTGGTCGAAGGTTATTTCGACACAACTTCACTCGCTCCTGAAGTACAATAAAACATCCACCATTTTCGAAAAATTACAAAATTTGATTTTGCGAATTTTATTTTTTTCCTTTACAAAATTTTGTGGTGACGTCATCAACATTTTTAAAAAGACACGTATATCTATCAATCTGGTTAGGTGTAGTGTAGTACTAACGACGATAACAGTATTGTATTCCCAAATTTTCGGAAAAATGAAGTTAGCCGTTCCTAATTAAATCAATAAAATAAGTGTACTCATTTACTAATTTTTTGAGTCACTCTGCATAAGCAATTCTAAAAAATATTAATATAGACTCATTGTATTTTGAACATTTTCGATAGGATTTCCTATATACAATATATACAATGAGTATATTAATCAAAATTCAAAATTTTTTGGAGGGGCTAAACATATATTATGATTGCAAATTTATTATGCTTACGATAACTTTAAAATGTCTGCAAGATTTCAAAGCATTCGGTTTTGCAGTTTTGATTTCATTAATAAAATAAATTGACTCATTCGTTAATTTTTTTAATCATCCTATATAAGAAATTCTAAAAAAAATATCAATGGAATGATAAAAAAACAAGTATAGACGAATCATATTTTGCACATTTTAAATAGGGTTTATTTGGTAAAATTTTAGATGACTTCTTCAGTTTTTAGGAGAATCGTAATTGTAAAATGTTTTTATACAATTTTTTTTTTACAAATATCTAGGGCAAAAACTGAAGAAGCATTCATAAACTACAAGTGGAGATGTATGTTATTTTATAAAATTTAAATAAAATTATGTATCTATTGTAAAAGTTTGAAATGACGTCATACCATCGTTGGTGGAAATAATCAAACAAATTTTGGTTAGCATTTTACCATCTACACGATATTCCTAATATACGTCTAAATTTGAGAATAATCGATCTGGTACTTTCGATATTTTTGGGATCATGAAACGTCGAGAAAACATAAAAGTAGAGAGTCACTAATGGACTCGTTTACCATGCTTTCTTAGCTTACGTTCGGGAAGTAAAAATTGGTCAAAAGTTACGTAGACAGAATTTCCCTCGCACCTAAAGCACAATAAAACAAGATCCGTTTCTTACCTAATTCATAAATTCATTTTTTAGTTTGATATATACTTATATTTTAATAATAACATATACAACATATTAAAATAAAAAACGCGGGTAGATTAATAAACCATACAGGGACACATAATATTTTACACATCTCAAATAGTTGCTACTTACCTCTCTTACTCATTAAAACTGTAGTTAGGATGAATAGACAAATTTTGGTTGGTGATTTGCCAGACTGATGATAACCTCAACACATATCGTAAATTTTAGATTAACTGGTGTAGTAATTTCTAAAATAAATTATGATATGAAAACCTTAAATATTTGCAAGACTGCATTTTCTCCGATGAATTTTCAAATTTTCTTGTACAATTTTGATTCTGTTTCCAAAAATTGAGTTCTCTATTACAGAAAATAAAAATTAATAAACCACAAGTTGCTGTAGAAGCATGGTATTTTATAAAATTTAAATAGAATTTACCTAACAAAATTTAGAGATGACATCATCAAAATGCTGGTAGGGGTAAACATAAATTTTGGTTAGCATTTAACCATCTACACGATAGTGTTAAATTACACCAAAATTACCACGATAATCAGCTAAGTAGTTTTGGAAGTTACGTGTTTAATAAAATGACCACAAACTAGAAACGGAATACGTATTGACATTTTCATATTATGTACCTAAGGAGTAAAACATGTAGAAAACATGAAGTTAGTAATCATTTTCTCAGGAATGATCTAAAAATTTTACCAAATTCCACAAAGACTATAACGTTAACATAAATAAAACGTTTTTCATCTGAGTCTGAGTTAGTTCTATGTGACTATATTTATTTAACAATTATTATTTGCATTTGTAAAAAATAGATATCCTGTCTGATGCTAGAAAACCAATGTCGGCAATACAATACTGATTTGATTACTATCTTCAAAAATGCGCCAATTCTGGAGACCCTAAAACTTTTTTAGGACCACCTCTAACGTATGCCGTCTGATGTTACAGCGTTTTCTAACATTAAACAGTTCTTTCAGTTCCGCATTCCTTGTTTTATGATGAATTCTTTACAGGTTTTGTCCTCACAATGGAACTGGTTGGTCCAAGCAAACGTTCAATGTGCGGTGTGGCCTTTCAAGCAGCCTTTGCCTGCGGAATAATGTTGGTGGCAGGTTGGGGAGCCCTCATTAAAGATCGCCAACTCCTACAAATCATCTACGGTCTTCATAGTGCAGTGCTAATTGGCCACTTCTGGCTAATGGATGAGTCACCGCGATGGCTTTGGGCCAACGGTCGGGCGCGCGAAGCCGTAGAAATAGTTAAAAAAGCGTTAAAAATGAATCGAAGTCCTATAAGTCTCGAAACAGCCGAATTCGTTTCAAAAGGTACTGCTGAGAGCAGAACCAAGACTGAAGACTCTGCTGGAGTACTAGATTTGTTCAAAACACCAAATTTACGAATCAAAACTCTTAATGTGTGCTTGAACTGGTTTGCTAATTCTCTTGTGTATTACGGGTTATCACTAAACACAGGACAGCTAAGTGGTGATCCCTATCTTATTCTCTTCGTCATGGGTTTGGTTGAACTGCCTAGTTATGTTCTCACTGTGTATTTAATGGACAGAATGGGCAGACGATCTTTAACTGCTCTTAACATGATCTTAGGTGGCATTTGCTGCATTACTGCGGCCAACCTTGTTATGGGAAGCACCGAATCCACAGCTTTTGTCGTTGTGGGTAAATTCCTCATCGCTAGTTCTTTTGCAATCATTTATAACTACTCCGCTGAACTTTTCCCTACAGTTGTCAGGAATTCGGCTCTGGGAATAGGGGCCATGTGTGCGAGAACTTCAGGCGCTTTAACGCCTCTTATTACTCTTCTTGATTCTTTCGATCCCAAGCTGCCTTCTATAATATTCGCTGTCATAGCTCTTATCTCCGGTTTTCTAACCCTATTCCTTCCAGAAACTTTGAATAAACCCATGCCTCAAACTATACAAGATGGCGAAGAGTTTGGGAAGGGCGACACATTTTTCACTTCTTGGCGTAAAAAGAAGACACCTGATGTGGAAGAACCAGTCACCGCCAAATCCCCAACTTCTGAACAAATGCAACCACTTGGAGTAACTAGGTGAATTGCACACCGTAAAGTTCAACTTAGAAAGACATAAAACAACGTAATTGTTTTCTACTTTTTTTAGTATTTATTTACAACTTAATTTCTGCACCAAAGTAATTCATTTCAATCTCTGGACCCTTTGTAGTGATTTAAATTTTTCATGGTACAAATAGGCTTTATTAAAGTATGCCAAGCTGCATCGGTTTCTTGTAAGAATTAGAACAATTTGTAACAAAAATTTACTAAATCTGTATTTTTAAAATGTTTCCTTCAGTTCGCCAATGTCTTCCGCAATTGATATTAATTAGTGTTATTATAGGAAATACAATTTTTGAACTGTTGTTATTGTCGACTGCTGGCTTCGTACGAAGTGGGCAAACGATAAAAATGATCTCATACATTTCTGTTATTTTATTGTTAATCACCGCCACCGCTTTGCACAAGTTATGATTTAAGGAACATAGTCAATAATAATGAATGTTTATTGTGCAGAACTTAAGTTGTGGTTTTACTACTTGTGCATAACATATTTATTGATAAAATAAATATTTCTACAGGCGCTAAACCGGGACTGATTTTTATTACCCAATAAAACGAGAAACATTCAACGAATAACTTTATTTACACATAGATACATGTTGTAACGTCTTTTGTATGTATATCGTATCATCAAAATAATCAAAATGTTCCTTTTACAAATTACACGTGAACGATTCACCTATTGTTCTGTGGTAAGCGCTCAAATCGCAACAAGTAAGCACAAATGATCTACGAATAAATTAACATTACTTCTGTTACCTTACTGTTATTGGGGATTTAAGCTCAAGGTAATTGTACAGAGTGTACAATTCGAGAAAGTCATGTAAGAGCAAACATCTAACAAAGTATCAACTAGACAAAATAGGTTAGGTCTCTGTACATAGTACCTTTTACATATTGTTATTATTCCTTTCTTTCTTTATCCTTTGAACATTTAAATGAAATTATATATATAAACAATGTACATAATAATACTAAACTTACCACTTTCAATAAAAAACTTACGTATCAACGGTTCTACGTGTGTTGGGGACGGTAATATGAAATAATTTTAAACATTTGATTACGGTATTTGCCACTTTTTGTTACATTAGAGAAATAAGAAAATTTTACTGAACTCTTTTAGTTCCTGATGGCTGAACTTAAATTCACCTAATATGTAAGTTTTTAAAAATGAAGTCAACTGTCATTTACCACACAAACATCTTTAATTCCACTTGCCTATGTTCGAAAATACAGAAAGAAAGTAAAAAATCCAATTACTTAGAACTAAAACTGAATAAGAAATTCATAAATACTTATAATTAACCTAAAATAACCTCGTATTTTATGGTGAAAGAAGAAATCACAGATTAAGACTAGCACAAAACTAAAAAGTAAATTCGTTGTCATATTAAAAGAAGGAAGTTCTGGAGTTTTGCAACAGTGAGTCTAAAGTCTAACTGAGTACACTAGATGATCATATTTACCATTACATTCTTATTGACTAAATTCTAATGAAGAATGCCATGATGTTGGATGTTATTGATATTCGTAAATTTACAAAAAGCTTGAATGAAAACGTTGTACACATAAAAAATTTTATACAAAATATGATCACTTCTATTAGACAGTAAGCTAAACGTGAAATTTTCACTTGCGAACCCACCTGTTGGCGAATTCATGTTAGATGTATGTTGAACACAAAATTTTAACATCTCTCTGTATCTTAAGAGCATATATCTGTATATTTGAATACAAACATATGATAAGCTTGCGAAATATTTTGGAATCTGACTTGCATTCTATGCCACAATTCTAAGCCAAACTATCCACTATCTTGAAAAGCCCAAGCTTTCAATGAAAATCGACTTGGTGTTAAACTTTTGTGTTTTCGTGAAAAGTGGTGTCATTACAAGAATAATGAAATCAATAAATCGAAACTAATGGATTATACACAAGTTCTATCAACTATAGTCATAATAAAGAACTAAAAGTTGTCACAAACATCAGTCATTTTTTATACGCAACGATTTTAATAGTTTTGCAATTTTTGAACTCTGCTTAAGAATCAAGTGTTAAAATAAACCATTTAAAAATATGTACTCTCTTCTAGCGAAATAAATAAAAAAACACTGTTTTCAACAACCAGATATCACAACATTCTGATCTCAGAGGTTTTAATGTGGATAAATCCAATTGACGCTAAAGAGAGAAATCAAATTGTTATTAGAGTACTTTAGGAAATGTTTAGTTTAGCAACACTTTTATTATCACATTGAGTTTAATTATACATTATTACAACCAACATATCAACAACTTTCATAGCGATTCAACATTCAGTTACACAAAGAGAACTTGTGATATTCTGATAAATGAGACAGATCTACACTGAGAGAGAAAGAGAAATTGACTGTCAGAGGCTCTGAAGTTCAGACGTCTTAAAAAAATATTCCAAATCGTTTCATTTGGTTAAACAATCATCAAAACCTCCAAGGATATCTTATTCATTATATACACCCCAGAACAAGAATTAACTCCGTTCCGGGCAAGCAGTGTGTGCAAATCTAGGCTTAGATCCGGCATTATTTGCTCCAAGGGCAGTATGAACGACAATGCTGGGCTGCCCTGGAGACGGAGGGTGCAACTCGTGTGATGCACCGGGAGTTAGAGTGGCCAACGCTGCGAGAAGATCATGGTTGATTATAGGCTCACCTTCAGGCCGGGGTTCCCAGTCGAGTGGGGGTGAAGCAGGTGGGGAAATTAGGAACTGCTTGAAGGGCGCTGGTGGTTGCAGACTGCTGTTCTTGACAGGTGTAACGGGTTGAGCAAAATAACAGGTGATTACCGAATCGTTGATTTTATACTGGTGAAGCTGGATGCGGGCGCTGGCCGCAGCCACCGCTGTCTGGAAGTTGACTCTCAGTCTTCTAAAACTGCGAAGCCACTGGAACGTGACTTCCGGGTCATAGTTCCGAAAGAGGTTTTCCATTTCACGTTTTCGGTCTAAAAAGTGTCATATTAGGTATAAAACGTACGACAACGCGGGCAAACTTACCGGGTATTGTAAATACGCTGTCGTGGATGTTGGTGACGATCAAAGAAGTCGGCAAATCTTCGAATTCGTCGTCCGTCACATGTTCCGGACTGTCCATATCGGCTTCGGCGAGAAGATTTGGGTGTACGTTTGGGAGACCATCCTGATCATTGATGATTATATCGTCTTCGGTCATTTCACCATTACTTTCAGCCATTTTACGGTTTGTAGATATACACAAAAATAAATTAAGGGTGGAAAATTTGCGGAGCTAAAAGACACACGCGAACTTAATGGTTTTTGATGCTCATGGAGTGCGCACACTGTTACAAAAAATACTACAAAACCAATTTCGGTTGTGATGGATTTTACTACAAAAACATTAAAATTTCAAAGTACAAAAAACAGAACTAACAATCTGCAAGTGCATATGCCAAATGTCAAGAATGTCAAGATAATGACTCAGGGCTACCAACACATCCAAGTTATGTAAATTATCAAAATATGATTTTTTTTAACTTAAGGTAATACTTTTCAGCAAGAAAACGTTACTCTTCTTATTATGAATCATAAAATATCATTAATTGGCTCTTAGAAAGCTTGTATACGTTAAAAAAAAAATCAGTTTCATCTTGTATGTTGTCAGTACATCTCGTTACTTTATTTTGACAGTTGACGTCCAATGTTCGTTGTTGTTTGTGTATGAATCTCTTTGATTTAAAAGAACACAGTTTAAACATTTTTTAAACATACATACACCTCAAAATTTTAATTCAGTGATGGCATTTTCATTTGGAAGTGGTAATCAGCCTAGTTTTGGAAACACCGCCAATAAACGTAAGTTATTCTAAATGTGCATTTGGAAAATTAGGTTAGGAAGTGGAATAATAACTTCCTTGTTATTGTTAAAAGTTGAAACGTATTCCTAAATAAGTATTTTTAATCATAGAATATCCGAAAAAACGAAGAAAATGTTTTTTAAAAAATTGTAGGCTTTAACCAGGTATACCTTTTAAATCTGTAACTACGTGGTAATAATAATTTATAATGGATCAAGTGAAAACAGTGTTATAGTTATTGTGTTTTTAATTTTAAACAGGAAATAATGTTATTTACCTTGCTAAAGAAGAAATGTGATAGTGCCACGATCAGTTAAGTTAAATGAGAAATGAAAAGACAAATTCTTTTTGAAGTGTCCATATGCAATAAAAATGACGGAGTAAAGATAAATAGCCGCCCAGTTTATTTTCAGATTGACAAATTACAGTTTTTGTTTTGATTAGAACACGTGCAAAACATTTTCTACATTTTAACAAAATTTTGTGGTTAGGTGATTTCTGTTGTTGATAAATACCAGGTGATAATGATTGAGTTGGCAATTCTGAACTATTGGTAGATTGGCAGCAACGTAGAAAGTCAGTTCATAGTTGTCAATTTTGATATGAGCGCGCCTAAAAAACAATGAGAAGGTGGCAGCCACTAAGTTGGTGCCCAAATTTTCAATTTGACATCAGATATACCAATTATACCATCATACAATTTCAAATACGTTGCCGATTAAAATACAGTTTAAAACCACTTTGATATTTTATAAAAAAAAAAACAAAACAAAAAAATATGTATGTAATTTACAATTAAAAAATAAATAAATAAAAAAAGTTATGTTTTTTTACAACATTGAAGGAATCTCAGATACTACTCTGTTAAAATTCACATTTCGACAGAATTGATAAAAAATGTATCCATCTTAAAAAAAAAAATGCGGCTCTGCTTCTCGTTCGATTACAGAACGTTATAGGAGGAGGACATCCTGACGACTTCGTTTTTTGAATTTGATTGTCTTCGCTTTTAATCTAAAAACTGATGTTTATGTCCAAATCAGGTGTCTAAACCAAATAGCCATGCAGTTCTATTGTTGGTTGCATTTTGAATATTTTAGGTGTAGAGCTTCTCATGAAAAACCTGTATATGGCTGAATGTAGTCGTAATGTATTCATTAATTGTACAATATTTTATCACATAATATAGTATAATCTAATTGTTTTAGCGTTGATTCAATATTTCAAAAGCTGTTCATAATTCACCCAAAGAAGTAATCTGGCCTAGCCCTCTGAAACATCGGAGATATTTGACCGAAACTTGCAACATCCATAACGCTTATACTGTCGTTAGAAAATGTGTTAGGTTTATTATTAACTGCAATTAATTGAAATTTAATAAACAAATAAAAAAATCGTTGGGCGAAAAATAAACACCAGTCTACGGTACGACAGGTCGAGACAATGACCACTAATGAAAGAAATTTAATTACTGTATCAATTATAATTAAGAATGTGATTAGGGATCCACTGCAAAGAACGGATTAAAGAGCATGTCGCAAAATAAATTTCAAGCGAAATTTGCTTTACAAAATTTTAAGACGTCATTATTTTTTTTAAGAAATAAGACTTGATTAGCGATTTAAAATGTTCACGATAAAATAAAAATGGATTAATAAACAATAGATATGGGAGCATATTAGTTACACAATTTAAGTAAGATTTCTTTCCTTTACCATTAGAATCTGTTCTGTAGTTGCGAAGATTGTTCGTCTAATAAAATTATCGATAGACGACAGACAGACAGGAATGGGACGTCCTATGGAAGACCTAAGTTTGCAAATTTTAAAAGTTACGTGTCCCTATAACGAGAAATTTATATTTTATGAAATGGTATGTTCACAATTTGGGTTGAATGTACTTATAGATATAAACAGTTATATACAATTTAGTAAATGTCTTAAGTTTTTATCTTACGTCTGGAGTTTGTATGTGCTCATCCCCCCTAAAAAATTGATGACGTCACCTCAAAATATTGCTGAACAAATCCTATCATCAAAGTATGATGAGTCTATACCTGTGATTTATCACTGCATTAATATTTTTTAGATTTGCTTATACAGGGTGTTTTAAAAAAATTAATGACTGAGTCAATTTATTTTATTGTTTAATAAATAAAGAATTGCAAAACTGAATACTTTAAAATCTTGCAGACGTTTTGAAAGCATGGTAACTTTTTAATCAAAATGTGTCTATTTATCAACCCCAAAAAATTGATTATGTCATCTCAAAATTTTGCCGAATAATTCATATCTAAAATGTGCAAAATATAATCAATCTATACTTGTAATTTATCATTGCATTCATATTTTTTAGATTTGCTTATATAGGTGACTCAAAAAATATTAATGAATCAGTCAATTTATGTTATTGAATAAATCAAGAATTGCAAAACTGAATGCTTTGAACCCTTGTAGACGTTTTAAAGTCATTGTAAGCATGGTAAATTGTTAATCAAAATAAATCTGTTTGTACCCGCCAAAAAATTGATGACGTTATCTCAAAATTTTGCCGAATAAATTCTACCCAAAATGTGCAAGATATGATTAGTGTTTACTTGTAATTCATCATTGCATTAATATTTTTATTCATCAAATTAAGAACGAGTCACCCCATTTTCCCGAAAATGTGAAAATACAAACGTCTTTATTTAATAAGAATTATAGTAATGATATTCAGAACATATTGTCGATTGTAGTTTACCACTTAATAGTTATCTGTTTTGAGGGGACGAACTCATTCAAATCAAACTAATTTCTACGTGACATTCTTCCGATGTATAAACATAAACATTTTCAAGTTGTTTTTCTTATCGAGGATAACCTAAGGACGTAGAGTAATGGAGTCCATCGGGCAATTTGGTACTTTCATATTTTTTCGATATTTCATAACCCCTAGACAAGACTGTAGTTAGGGGGAGGCTAGGGGATGCTGAGCCTCCCCTAGATCTAGACAAGTTATAATTAACCAAATGCGTATTACAACACCGATTATAAAAATAAAATGTAGTGTTTTATTCAATAAGCGGAAGTCAGAGCAGTAAAAAAGTCTGGACCGGCGGCATTGTGATTCGGTTATTGCAATTCGTAGCAAACATGTTTTAGTTTAGTTTCTGTTTCACTGTCACATCTACAAGTTGATAAGTGTTATCGCTATTTGTCTTGAATTACAAGTACGATAAATGATTTTCACTTCGGTCTTCAGTAGCACCTCTGCTATTACCAGTCTTCGGCATAGCGGAAGTGATGCTCATTGGCGTCCGATTGCCAGCGTTATTGCAGTTGTGACATACAACTTCGGGAATTTCTAATAAGAATGACTACTTTTTTCTGTTATACAACTTCTCCTAGATGTTGAAATTGCTTTAAAAATTAAAAATAATTGTGATTCTTGTCAAATTTTGTACATATCGCGTAGATAGTAAAACGCTAACCAAAATTTATCTAATTATCCCCACCAATAATTTGATGACGTCACATCAAAATTGTACATAACAAATGGATTTTAAATTTAGTTTAGTTTAATTTATGAATACGTGTTGAGTTTTTACCCGAGATATCTAGATTTTTGGAAAAAAAATCAAAATTGTATAACAATGTTTTGCTATTGTCTGAAATCTTGCTGTTGTTTTAAAGTTATCGTAAGCATGGCAAATTTTTATTTAAAATGTATTCGTTTATCCCCAAAAAATTGATGATTTCATCTCAAAATTTTGCCAATTAAATCATATCTAAAATGTGTGCATTAACATTTTTCAGATTTGTTGATACAGCTGAAAATGAATGAGTCAGTTTATTTTATTGATTAAATCAAAGACGGCTCACCCATTTGTTTAATAATCTGATTTTCAATTGATTCTCTGATTTTAACATTTTGATTGGTAATTTCAAGACTTTTCTATTAATGTGTACTATTGCAGTTCGGAATACTTAAGTCTGTATATAAAAAAATACCTATTTCTTTTTACTTTCAACCCAGAGTACATTTTTAAAGTTCATCAATCGGTGTAATATCAAGTCACCGTTATTGTGGTGCACCCACATAAAAACATATGAAATGTAAGAAACCTTAGTCACCAAATGACATCATTTTTTAGATTTACTATTATTTTTAGAATAATTTCACCACACTTTACATCCTATAAACACTTTTTTCATGGAATATACTCATCACAAATTGATAACTCATAATATGCAGGGTGGTAAATTTTAGTGTACTTTTACACATATGAACAATCAATAAAAAAAAAATTGGTCGAAAGTTATTTCAACAGAACTTCCCTAGCCCGTGAAATCTAATAAAACAAATCCGGCCTTTTCGAAAAATTGTAAAATTTGATTTTGTGAATTTTATTTTTTTTTTGTGAGAACCGTTATAAGTTAAAATAAAAATATGTATGTAACGTTAAAGTAAATGTAAAGAAGCGTACTGGGCGTACATTCTAAATGAGTTTTCCGTTAACAATATTTGTGATGACGTCATCAACATTTTTGCAAAGACACGTATGTTACTTTGGATAGGTGTAGTGTAATACTAATGCTAACAATATTATATTCTCAAATTTTCGGGAAAACGGATTGAGCCGTTCCCGATTTAATTAATACAATAAATTAACTCATTCATTAATTTTTATGAGTCACCCTGCATAAGAAATTTAAAAACTTTAATGCAATCATAAATCACAAGCATAAACTCATCATACGAGTATTTTGCACATTTTAGACAGGATTTATTCGGCAAAATGTTGAGATGACGTCATCAGTTAAATTTTGCTTTACCATTATTACGTTAACCGTAAAATATTTACAAGATTTTAGAGCAATCGGTTTTATAATTTCAAGGTGCAAAATATTGTTATTCAGTTTTGAATTTTTCCCAAAAATTCTAGATGTCTAGGGTGAAAATTCGACACCGATTCACACACCACAAGTGCAGGAGTATCTCATTTTAAGAAATTAAAAAAAACTTTTTATTATAAATTTTGGAGATGACATCATCCCATTAGTGGTGGAGATAATTAGCGAAATTTTAGTTAGCATTTAACCATATGTATGATATTCCTAATACACATACAAAATGTGAGAACAATCGGTCCAGTACTTTCGGAGAAAACGTGTCTGATAAAAATGGATACAAATAAATTAAGCAATATTTACGGGCACGGTTTTTTTTTTTTAATTTTGTTAACAATGGAACCATAGTGACAATATCCAGATATAATTAAATTCATTCACTTTTAAAAATTGAAACATCAAATTTTTACTTCCCGAGCATAAGCGAAGGAAATATTGTAATCGTTGGGGGGCGACTGGCTACTTTTATGTTTTCTTGACACTTCATGACCTCATACATTAGGTCTCCTGGTTCAGTCTGTGTGCCGTTTGTTCAGATTTTTACTACGCAGATAATCCGGGCCGATTGTATTTTATATGTATGTTAGGAATATCGTGTAGTTGGTACAACGCTTACGAAAATTTGCCCTACATATCTCCCTATCACTGTTCATGTTTATAATAAATTTTATAAAATAGTATACTCTTGTATTTGTTTTATTGAATACAAATTCGCAAAATCAATTTTTTTAAGTTTTCAAGGAAGCGGGATTTGTGGCACTGCATTTCGGGGGCGAAGGAAGTCCAATTTTTTAAATTACTTCTATAATTTAATTGCAGACGTTTGAAGGAAAAATAGTAAATATTATTTGGAGAAAAGTGACTTTTTGTGGTTCGTCTGTATTTGCCGGCGTCCCCTCGGTTGGCGGTAAACTTATAGACTCATCACGAAAAGTTCCACTTTTGCTCCTTATAAAATTCTTTCTTCTTCAGTTTTTTTTTTTTAATATTGCCTACTTCTACCGACACAATCAATTTGCATAAATTTTGATTACGAAGGAAGCACCACAAGATCAAAATTCATCGTATATGGGTTATTGGAGAATCCCCTCGTTATTTTACGGTATCTTACCTGTTTTAATTTATACTTTTATGACGTTGTATTTGTTGAGAGTAAATACGAACATTAAATAAAAAACTTAAATTTACTTTATCTCACAGTTTTATTTAGATTTTCAAAACAGAAGAAAAAAAAGAAAACCAGAAAATAAAGTACATGCAAAATTCGACTGTCTTTTGATTGCAATAACTAAATAAATATAATTACCAATAAATAACAAATATTCTTTGGATTTAACATAGGCAGATAAGAATAAATAACGATATTATTATATAATAGCTAATGTATCACATAGTTGAAATATTTCACAGTTAGTACAAAGGTATGTGTATGGCTATTTAAAGTTTGAAATGCGCTGTTCCATTTGTGAATCCCTGTGATTACAGCTTGAAACACTGACTTGATTCAAATCAGAAACACAATACGCTCCTGATCTTGTACCACTTCGAACTTTATATCTCTTGTAAATAACCAAGAGAATAATAATAAGTAAAATCAAAGCACCCAGAATCACACCTAATACAATGTATAACGTTTTCTCTTCGGTATTATCTTCAGAATACTTATAATGATCGGTATCCGTCTCCATCGTCGTCGTTGGCGTTATTACATCGGATACAGTGTTTAAAACCTTTTCGGTGGTTGTAACTATAGTATCCACAACTGTATTCATCGTGTCGCTGATAAAAGTCGTCGCACTTTCGGAATCTCCCATGGTGGCAACAGTGGCATTAGCTTCACCCAAGTCAGTAATCATTGTATTGTTGTCCATCATATCAGTGATAATTGTGTTATTGAAATCCATTGCTGTGTTGTTACTGTTAAATATTTCTTTGATGCCGGTTTGATCAGTATCCATCATCGTGTTGTTACTACCAAGAGTTTCTTGCAAGTTTGGTGCGGTGGTTGTGCTGGTGGTGGTTAACATCGTTGAATCAGTTTGATTGTCCATAATTGTGTTGATTATGCCTTTGATGGTATTGACAACTTGATCCACCGCACTCTCTGTCACTGTTTGTGGAACCACCGGATCAACATGGGAAATGCTGTCAGTCACTTCTTGTTGTGGAAGATCAGTTTGTTGTACCGGGTGTGACGGCCATTGGAAATTGGGACCATCCTAATAAAAAAAAATATTATTAGAGTTTGTCTTTTTTCAAGGCATATTTCAAGTTACTAATAAGCAATAACAAACGTATTTAATAAAAATAAGTACGAACCTCTAAGTGTAAATAAACCATTTTGCACTGTGCTAAATTTTACTCAGTTCAACTCTGCAAGAACTTATCGACGACTGAAGTTTTTGTGTACTTGATGCGATATTTATCGCCGGTGTTTATTTATGCAAACACGGTTTTTCACACTTCCGATCATTTCGTGGTAAGAATGAAGCATCAAAACTAGATTTTCCACTCGTGTTGATGATTAGTCATTCAATGTTTTTAATGTGATTTTGTTTGTGGTTCGTCTGGTTAAAGTGAAGACGTCATTGTTTATAAATATTGTCCGCGATGGAGATAGTTACGACACCATCATCTAAAAAGAAGAACAAGAAAGGTTAGAAATTTGTTAATGAATTTTTCCGAATATTTTTATTGGTGGCTAATAAATCTATGCATGTTAATGAGTCACGAGCTTGATACAACAGAATAATTACACGAGTAACAATTACTTTTAGAACTTTAATCTACTTGTATTGACCTTTTTAAGTAATATTTGTTCCGAGTTCGAAATTCGTTGACATCCGCTGCGGTTTTCCAAGACAGACGCAAGGAAATTTGCTAGTTGTTATTTTCGTCATTTCCGTATGAAGCATGAAGGAAAAGCCCCAACATGCGTAACTAACGTATGGTTCTTTCATTGATGAAACTACTGAAAAATTTGACAATTTTGCTACTTAAAACCGCAGAATCGCAAGTTTCCCAATTGGTCAAGTATCACAATGATTTAAACTTTGTTTCTGGAAAATGCGTATTTAATTTCTTACGGTTTTTCTTCTAAAAGTTTATTTTAATCAGTCATCTAAGAAATAAAGCCTTAAAAATTATTTTTGTAGTAAGCATTAAATTAAATAATTAATTCCGTTTGACCCTGCGAAGACCTAAAGTTTTATTGAAAAATGTGCAGTTTTCTTAGCCTAATGGCGTATCTAGAAAATAAGAAATCCGAAAGGCGAAATAGTTTTGTGAATAATGAATATCTTATTTATTTGTTTTGTTAAAGTTGCATATAAAAGTAGTTACTTCGTTTCGCGTTAGTAATAACACAATATATAAAATAAATAATAAGTTACTAGTCGCAGAGCAGATGTCAAAATTAATCCCATTTTTTGTAATAGAACACTAAAATCTGGACAGAAATGAGGTATCTATTATTGTTTACGAGAATGTGATTCCAAGAATATCCATGAGAAGTTTTCAATAAGCGTCTTTTTGTAGCTCCTAAAATATGAAAAAATAGGTCTCCTGTTTCCATCTGCCTATCGTCTGTTGACAATTTTATCGAACAAGTAATCTCTGAAGTGACAAGCTGCTTTGAAATTTTAGATTTGCATATCGTACATCTGCATCTGGTAAAGTGCTAATCAAAATTTCTCTGATTATTCCCATAAAAAATTTGCTGACGTCATCGCAAAATTTTGTCAAGTAAATCCTATGTATAATGTGCAAAGTAGTATGTGTCTATACGTGTAATTTATTAATCTAATTTTTTGCTGTATGCTTGTAGATTTTTGGAAAAAAAAATCGACATACATATTATCGTTCAACTTAGACAATACAAACCCGATTACGTAGAAATTTTGCTGATGCTTTTAGGTCATGATGTTTATCATAAATCACTAACGAGAATTTATCTGTTTTTGCCTTTCAAAATTTTGATGTCATTCTACTTTAAATGTGCAAAAAAATGTAGGTCTATCCTTGCGATTTGTTACTGCACCGATATCTATATTTAAGCTTCTGCATCTATATAAAAAAATAGAGAAACTTAGAAACTATGAAACCGATTGCATTGAAACTATGCACTTATATTGAGTTTATCGTGAATACTTATGCTAAATCACAAGGTCATTCAAAATTCAGTTACTCTTTCTCATACCTTCCAAAAGCTCGATCACATCATTTCAAAATTTATTTATGAACCTTCCTGGAAAGTTATAGTGTGGTATGTTTCATTATTTACGATTTAATAACATAATCATACTTAATGATAAAGTATGCAAGTTATCGTAAAAAAATCCAGTTAGACTTCACATTGAGAATCTACGAAAAGATTTTTTCTTGTTTTAAAAAATTACAGCTACAATTACAGTTACAAGCATCACAGGGAGGGAACTTAAAGAAAGTTAATTTTGATTCAGTTGATGTTCAGATAGGTAGTGACATAATTTATGTTCATGATATTTTGATAGACAATTATGCTTTGAAGAACACTCAATTAGTAAGTTGAAAATTGGTTATTTCATGTTAAAAAATATTTACAGAAAGAGGATTTACTCTCTCAGTAAATTAAATATAAACTTTATGCACATTTAACTAGAGAAATTGAAAAAATATATATCGACAGCACTTTCCTAGCCCTTGAAATACAGTCCAACAAATCCCACTCCTTTGAAAAATTATAAAATTTAATTTTGCGAAATTTTATTTATGATAGTCTGTGCACATTAAAAAAAAAGTAGATTACTCGTGGGAAGTAAAAATATGATTGTTTGTAATTTTTTAGATATTCTTGTAAAGATTGTTTTTCTGAATTATTAATGTATCATACTTTAATCGCCCATACGCCGCCACTGCCTTTGATTCGAACGCATTATGTTACGTAAACACACTCTGTTGGCTTCTTTACCTTCGGTCTGGTGCGTACATTATTTTATAAAATTTAAAAAACCTTTACTGCTCATAATATTCAGCGGACGTCATAATATTTTTGGAATTGATGATTAAACAAATTTTGATTAGGTTTTACTATCCACATATTTTTAATATTATGCAAAACTTGCCAACAAATGTCCAGTAGTTTCATAGACGTGCCGGGACCTACCTTTTCGTACTCTTGGAGTCATAAAACGTGGAGCAAACATGAAAGTGTCCATTCGTCGGATGACGAATCTTTTGTCACTTTATTTTTTATGTATTTCATGGGCGCAATCAATATTATTATGATTTATTATTAATAAAAAATACTATTTTACTAATATTTTTGTTTTTAGATATTTGTACGGAATATTAAAAAAAATGATTAAATTAATTTTATTAATTAAATTAAATCAAATTAATAGTTATCTAATTTTCTCAAAGTTCCGTGAACACAGGAGTATTGTTTATATTCATTTGTTGACATTAACATAAACGATATATTTCGGACGGTTATTAAACGCATTTCGAAGAATATGAGTTTAACAAACAAATTCCTTATTAGAAGTTACTTTTACTTTAACAAATTTAATACTTGTAGTATTTGCACTATAAAAAAAAATAGCATCTACTAAAAGAATTGCGAAAGATTTACGTATGCAGTGACCGATGTGTTAATTTACAGTGGGTAAATCCAAGAACACGGCCAACGTACTCTGTATTCTTCTAAATGTTCTTCCCAATTGATTGTGCTGTACATTTTCCTGATTTGTAAAACAAAAAAAACAAAAACTCAACGATGTAGTATGGGAAGGATGAAATCCCTACACATTTGCTGTATAAACTGAGCACGTCTACATTACCTTCTTTAGTGCAACTATGTATATACAAATGTTCCGTGTTTTCTTTTTTGTTTAAAGCAATATTTGTGCCAAGTTCAAAATTCATTGTGGAATTGTTATCCGCTGTGGTTTTCTTAGACAGACACGCGGAAATTTGATTAGTTGTTATTTTCGTCATTTCCGCATGAAGCATGAAGGAAAAGCCCAACATGCGTAACTAATGTATGGTTCTTTGATTAATGAAACTAGTGAAAAATTTGGACAATTTTTATAAGTGTAAAATCTCAATTTTCCTCAGTTAGCTATCGCAGTGATTTAAATTTTGTTTAGGAAAAATTTGGTTTCCATTCTTCCTGTCTAGCTTCGGAAATTTTATTTTAGTAATAGAAGTGGTAAGTATGTAAGAAAAAGATTTTCTCAATGGAGAGACGTGTTAAAGTATCCAGAAGAAGAAAGAATCCGAACATATCGAATATCTTATTTGTTTTATTAACATATTAATAAAAGTAGATAGGTATTTTGTTTTGTACAAATACACACAGCAAAGCAGATTGTTTTTAGTTGGTAGTATTATTTTAGTACCAATAGTACTTATAAATACATAGTTTCGTATTCAGTCAACACAATAATTAATTACATCTGTATGTTAGGATGTATTTTTTAAAAGATTTCTCACATTTTTGAGCCCAAGTCATTACATTTTTTGCCGAGATGCATATACCTATATAATCATAACGTAATTGTGTTTTAAAAATTTCAGCACAATTAATTGACCTGTTCTCAGCAATAGCACCAATTCTACCATTTGATTTTTAAAACTTTTGCTCTAGTTGGCCGCGCCACGTACGTCGGCAGTGCAATTGAAATTGCTGACTTAAGCGTCATGGCCAACTTGAGCAGACGTTCAAAAAAATCAAAATATCCAGAAACAGACAAACGGAAACGAGAAATCAGCATTTCTCTACTCTACAAGTTACGAAACATCGAAAAAGTATGAAATTAGGCGTTCTTCAAAATTGCCGCATTAAAAGTTCCTTAGCTTACACTGAGGAGATAATCAGATCTCTTGTGTGGTTTACACTACATCATCCCGGCTGTTTCAGGGTTGTCTTTAACATTTTAATTTTTTTTTAATATTTTTCTACATTATTACATTATAAATTTTTTTTTATTAAATAATGCTGCATTTTTTTTTTAATATTTAACGCTTTAGTCCATGATTACTTCTATTGTTTATTATTAATAAACCTTAAATAAGAGTAAGTTAGAATAAATGTCATAGAGAACTTATCCTCGAGTGATGGCAAGATGCTTTTATGGTGGAAATCGTAGAATTATTTCGATATTTATCATTATAGAAAATTTTGTATTAGTAAAATCTAAACATGTGCTCCAAGAAATTAACTGTATGTGGAATCTACGAATTCCGGTTTATAGATAGGTTACCGACTAAATTGACGTGAGTAGATAAGAGTACCGAGATAGCTATGCTATGCTATAATACACAACAGTACAATATACCAACATAATTAGTGGTCGCAGGAGGTTCTAGAAACAAAATTATGAGTCTATTCTTGACCACTACGATTGTCTAAAAAGTCATTGATTTGTCAAAGTTGTAACGTTTAAATTCAAATTTTTAAGCTTCTGAAATACAGCCAATAACGAGCACAAATTAATACAAAGTAGTTTTTGGTGTGTTTATCACTAAAATATAATCGTTATGACAGTAGAACACAAATTCATAATAATTTATTTGTATAATTTTTAGTTAACTGCACTTTCATATTCAAATTATTTTTAAGTCATCCTAAAGCTGACATGAACAGATTTTGATGATCTGCAAAGGCAATTTCTAACATGAAATTGGAACAACTACGTGAATACGCGTGTTTAAAGACATTAGGTACGTGCTAATGAAAGTCTTATCACATTCGTTACCTGTTTTTTAAACTTTCGAGTAATAAACTGAAAGAAATACGCAACATATGAAGAATTTTAAATTTTTCATTTGTGATTTTTATTTGTTCGTGAAAACGAGTTTCTCATTATGAGTAAATGTTTACTAATTTTATGAATTATTGAAGAAGCACTTATGTGAAAATTGTTGTTTAGACTCTTCACGTGTGTTTTATTTTTTGTGGTGTCAATGCTATAAGCGTTTATAATTAAGTAAATAGTGCATATATAGATATGTTGTCTTAATTGTCTTATTAATTATGTTTTACTGAGATCATATTCTAATAGTCATTAAAATATGTAATCGTTATTTGTGAAGGAGCGATTTTATCCAGCAGACGCATTCATTGCTGATGACAGTACAACTGAGTTAGAAGAATTTTTGCAATGTTCGATTTCATTCACATCCACAAAGACAGGGACCTCATACAAATAGAAGCCTAGACAGATCACACATTTCTTGACTAAGTGCCCAATAACTGATTAGATATTTCAAAAAAGATAATTTTAAGTAACTCCAATTCGCCTGGCTAAGTGAGATTTGTTCATGCGCAAAAATGAATTTATCCTAAAAAGTTGAAACTTTTTACGTTGATATAGGCAACAAAACATACTGAATACCTAAAAAACTGGGTGTGCTACAAACTAGCCTAGAACTGTAAGCAGATATAGCGTCAAACCCTCAGCGGTGTAACTGTGCCTTTAGTCAGAAATACTTTTAAGTCAGTGACGGTACCATTTGAATTTGTTAGAGATCACCCCCAGTTACTACATAAATACCCTCGGTGCTCAACTCCCGATTATTATGCTGTGGGTGTATGTATATGAAGCAAGTTGCGAACTTCGATCTGATAATTCTGCAGCTGTGTATTTGTATGTTTGAACGAGTCAGTTCATACATGATGCTTATTGAAAAAAAAAAAATGGTATCGATAATTATTATCGTGCTGTTGACATACGATCAGCCACATCCTTCCTAACTCAGCCCCCTGATCTAGCTCCTCAAGTCAGTGGATTTCGAGCCCGGGGATTGGTTGTAATGATAAGTTATATTTCATTAATTCATTAGATTATAAGTCACCTAAAATTAATCCTAACTGACTGATGTATTTTACGCCTTCCGATTCATACATTTTTTAAAGATAGGTAGGTTTCCTTTCAACTGACATTACGAAACTTCTTGTGTATCTTTCTGAAAATTTTACTCAAAACATATACATAGTTTGTACGCTCATGAAAGTGCAAATCGCACTACATAAAGTAGGATAGATAAATTTTAACAAAAACATTCTCCAAAAATGGGCCATTTATTCCTTATCTCCATTTCTACGGTGTTAACATTTCCTGTTTATTTATTACAGCCACAGCCTTCGGCACTCCTTTTGGCGTGACTACCACCACAGCCAGCACCGGTTTCGGAGGTTTCGGCTCCTTCGGCTCTACACCTCAACCCTCCACTGGTTTCGGTTCAACTTTTGGAGCTCAATCCGGTCCAACCTCCGGTTTCGGCAGTACTTTCGGCGCTCCGGCAAGCTCCGCTCCTGCCTTTGGATCATCTTTCGGGGCTCCAACATCCACAGCAACCTCCAGTTTTGGTACTGGATTTGGTGCTTCAACCGGCACCGGCCTTTTCGGTACTTCGACAACCAAACCGAGCTTGTTCGGCACTCCTACAACCTCCACGTCTTTGTTTTCCACGCCTGCAAATGCGGCACCTAGCTTATTCGGTACTTCTACAACAACGCAAGCTCCGAGTTTGTTCGGAAACGTGACGACTACGACGCCGAGTTTGTTCGGTACTGGAAGTACTCCAGCGCCGAGCCTATTCGGAGGTGCAACAACATCAGCACCGAATTTGTTCGGGTCGACATTCGGGGGTACCGCTACTACTTCCGGTGCTAGTTTGTTTGGTGGGGGAAGTACGAGTGGTACTGGATTTGGATTATTCGGAGGTACTACCACCACAAGTGCTGCTCCGTCGTTATTTGGAGGGTTTGGGGGCACCCAAACGACTGGGGGCTTTGGGGGATTTGGTACTGCTGGGGCAGGAACAGGTTTTGGGACTCAACAGCAAAGCACGAATTTGTTTGGAGGGGCTTTTGGACCGAAACCTGCAGTACCGACAGGTTGGTAGTTGGCGGTTTTTATGGGTTGCAGAATTTGCAAGAATTCAGCAGTGGGATTTTTAGGGTGTTACGTTTTCACTGCTCTCTTTACGTTTTACAAGATATTTTTACTATTTTGAGGAATTTTCAAAATTAAGAATGGGCAAATTTTTTTTTTTAATTTATTTGCTATTCCGCAGTTTTAATTATAGTTTAAATAATCTCGAACTTATATTTTTTTCGTAAATCAATTCACACTTTCACGGAGATAACTGTTCATATTTTTATGGTGCTCCATTATAAAGTTATATATGTTTTATTTTTAGATATATCAACTTTTTACTGATCTGACGCAGTCAATAATTTGAGTGTGAAATAATGAGAGTGTGAAATTTAAATATGTTGCAGATTTGCCACTTGTTAATAATTACAGTCGAAACCAGAACAGTTGGACGTAATTGTCACTCCGCTCTCATAAAGTGTGAAACACCTTTATAAGTATTGTAAACTTATTTTTTTAGTTTTGTCATTTTTGACATTGCAAGCGTGCTGACACTGGATGCGACGTAACAGTTTTTTAAACTTTAAAGATTTTCTGGCCGCGACTGTTTATATATTTAGAAAAAAAAAACATCCACAGAATTGTTATGTTGACTAACATGTTTTCGTTGACATGTGAATTTAAAGGCGTTTATGAAAGCAAGCTGTTGAATTTATTTAAGGAACAATAAAAGCAGTATAATAATTCGTAAAGATGTACATTTTAACACTCAAAGATTTGATGGAGGAAGTACATATCCTCTCCTACATGACTGTTTAAAGTGGAAAAAAAGAATTACAATTTTTGTTTCAATATTGAGCGACTGGCCTTCAGCGACATACGTAAAAATAATTTTTTCTTCTTGTAAAGAATACAAATATCTTTATTTATTATTATTTAAATATATATGTGATATGGACGGACACATGTAAACTGCAGCGGATAATAAAATCAGGTACCTGCCTTAAGTTGGGTCCACTGGTTTACCGAGATTATTCAAAACTCATTTCTTCTTCGTCTTAATAAATCTGGGTCTGTGATAGTTCTTCGGTAAAGTAGCGGCATTTATCAAATCAAACAGTGATCCCAATATATCTTAATATGAATAACCTGGAAACAGAATGACCATTGCTTGGAAGATACTGTTACGATGATCGGTGATTAAAAATGAGCGTGGGTAAAACTCAACAATTTATTTCTTAGTAACTCAAATTTACACTACTAATTACACGGCGATTATGTACAAAATAATTCCGACTGGAATGGATTTGACTAGACTCTACTTCTCCCATTGTCTGGACATAACTTGTTGGTTGAGACTGACTCGTTCCCTAAGATGGCCTCTATTTAAATGCTCAGATAAACTTCTAGATGTTTTGCGATCGAGGTCTTTCTGGAATACCCATCGCGACTTCCTTTTCCAGGCTTTCCTTTAACGAACGCCGTCCGGCCGCCGTCACCGACGATGAGTCACCCATCATCGCCGCACATACTAGAAAACCCAAAGGCGTCGTACCGGGGCGGCGTATGGGTTTATTTAGTAACAGTACTATCAAAGAAGAAAATCGTTAATACAAATAAAATTATTCTGGAGGTTGACTCCCAAACAGCAACTTTTGCAATATTGGTACTACCTAAATCTACAACTTAATTAAAAAAAAACGAATCTAAACGCATCGAGTACAGTATCTGGGTACAGGTAGTACCGACATATCGCTGTGGTTTACATAGATCTTTCTTGAACCCTACGAAAGGTCAGCTGCAGTTTACATTCGCCGATATAAACTTAATTACTGTATCTTTACTTACTAAGAATTTGGCAAAATACTAACGTAAGTAAGATGCAACCGAACATAAAATGTATTTTTTTTTTTTTGTAACAGAAAATATTTGTAAACCAGTAATGAACCACGATTAATTATAAATTAATTTACTATTTATAAAGTTAGAAAATTAACTAATTATTTATATTAACTAGACCATTTTGCATTTAGGTGGTCCTCAATCTGTGTTAACAACTCAACAACAACAAAATCAGCAAGTGATGGCATCAATATATGCCATAAATATTTACAATGACGAAAGAGATGATATTTTAAAAAAATGGAACTTACTGCAGGCTTGCTGGGGTACAGGCAAAGGTTATTATAATCCTAACCTCCCCCCTATCGAGTACACAATGTACAATCCATTTTATCGCTTTAAGGCAGTAGGCTACAATATTATTCCTGAGCATGACAATACAGAAGGTTTAGTTAAATTGATCTTCAACCGAAAGTATTCGGAACTCAGGTAAGTTGATATTAATTACCTTAGTATTATTTTTCATTACATGGTATCAACCATTGTAGTAGTCAAAAACAAGTACTTATTAACGGAATCGGTGGTATTTTGGGAAACAAACCGAACTTGAAAGTTATCATTCAGCATATTAAGGCACTAGCTGATACCCAGTCGGAAATACGAATCGTGGTAATGGAAAAAGGTGTTACTGGAAACAGTAGAAAAATACCAGCGACTGATTTAGCAAACTACCTCAACCAGCCAGCCCAAAAACAACAACTTACTAACGTTGGAGTTACTTCCATTGTGGCCTATGTAACTCCATCAAAGGCTGCGTTAGAAGAGTACCTGAAGACGGTACCACTAGGTAGGTATATCATTTTAAATTAGTTGTTCCATATGTACTTTAATTATGTTTCTTTAATGCTTAACGCTTTCACTAAAAATATTTTAGGATTCGACCCTCAGATGTGGAAAGCCGCAATTGTAGACAATCCTAACCCAAATAAATACATGCCCGTACCCATTTACGGTTTCAACGATCTTAAAGCTAGAAAACTGAAACAAGAGCATGAGACGGGTTTGCACAAAGCATTTGAAGAAAAAATTAATAACGAATTAGCAGAACTGAAGAAGAAACATGCGGCATCTATCGCTAGAATTAACGAATTAAAACACAGATTCTTGCATCTGCAACATCGCACACTACGGGTAAAACCCCATTTGTTCCTTCATAAACGTATTTTATGTTTTTGGATTGCAGATATTGGTTAGGCAAGAAAGTATAAGAAAAAATGGAATCGCTATTCAACCAGAAGAGGAATATTTGAAAGGCAAACTTGAGACGATGTACACACATTTGAATGTTCCAACTCAGTTCAAGGTAAGCCGAAATCAAGTTTAATAGGACAACTTGATGATTAGCCTCAATTAAATGAAACAATATTGAATTACTAGTGTAGGGACACCAAGGTTATAGATTGCGGTATTTAAAAGATGTTTTTAGGGGCAACTCAACGAATTGATTTCTACTGTTAAATTAATGGAAAACACTGCAAGACCACCTCAACCAAAGTACAAATTAATACCGGAAACTCAAGGAGAATTAAAAGACTTCCTACAATTGCAACAAAATGGTATTTCGAAGCTCGTTGATATTGTGAAGGAAGATATGCGCTCGTTAAACATCATGATTGAAGGTATGCGCCAAATTATGCCAAATAAATCTGTAATGTAATTATTAAACAATCAATTTTCATTCGATTTTGTGATTTTTTTTTTAATATCTGCAACTACTAACCGAAATTTCGGAAGTGAAACGAACAGAAGCGTATTGTCAGATTCTAAATACTTGTTTATTGGTTGTTGTATTTGTTTTATATACAAGTCAAAAAATCGAATGAATAAATAATTTTTAAAAGAACTTCAGGGGTCAGCAGCAGCGAAAAACAGGTTTCGTATTAATTACATTTTGTGATAGTGATAACATCACAGGATGTATTGGAGTATGGATAGCTGATAATTTTTAAAAACCTTTTTTGTAGTTTTTCGACGAAATGAACAGCGTACGTTGACGTTGAAAGATTTGTCATTAGATGAATAAGGATAATTTTATATATTTTTTTAATATTTATTGCACAGTGTTTGGACGAATTTAACTGTTATACTGTGATATAATTATTTGGTCACTGTCGTTTAATTAGTATTCATTGCTATTGTTATTTGTTTCTGATTCATTGTAATGTGGTTAGAAAATAAGAAAATCCAAATAAAAATGTTAATTTTAATCAATAATAAACATGATTTTCAGTAATAAATATAAAAAGGTTATCACAATGTCTTATTGCCATTTACAACGTTAAATACACGTAAATAAATAGAACAAACGCGCAACTAAACTAATGAACACACAATACTCGGCTAAGTCAACTTCAAACCTTCCTGTTAATACTTAAGTCCAATGGTACATCAATATCCATATCCTGATGACCATTATACGAGACGAAAATATTTTCTTGGCCTTCAGGCGAATAAAACGTGCTCCACGTAGCACATTTTTCGTCCCTCCGGAAATTAATCAAATTTCCAAACCTCATAATATCGTTACTTTTGTTCATACTGGACACACAACACATGTGTGTACAATCACAAGAATGGCTGTCGTTAACTTTGCCTTGTACTTTTTCAACATCAAGTTTCCTATCAACAATACTGTTGTTTTTAACATTTTCATCATTGACCTTGGTCTCATGAACGAAGTGTTTGTACGTTTTTACATGTTTCCTTAAGCTGCTGGGATCAGTGTACCGTTTGGGACAGCCAGGGACTTTACACTTGTAGGGTTTTTCCACCTGATGAGTTCTCGTGTGCTTAAATCGATCGCTGGAATTCGAATATGCCTTGTTGCACCCGGGAACGGGACAGACGTACGGTTTTTCCCCGCTGTGTGAACGCGAGTGGATTTTAAGATTCTCGGCTCGTGAAAAAGATTTGTCACACTGGTAACACTGGTGGGGTTTTTCGTTGGTGTGTGTTCGCACGTGTACCAACATTTTGTACCTAAATAAACTAGAGTTAGCGTCTGAATTTGAACCAAAAGCGGCTGTTATTACCTGGCATTGAAACCTTTATTATTTCTGGAGCAGCCTTCCCATCCGCAGTAAAATAGCCCTCCAGGACCACTTGCTGCATGTACTCTGGTTACATGATTGGCTAGTTGATCCAAAGTTTCGAAGAAGGCTCCACAGGATTTCCATCCGCAACGAACCTCGTTTGATTTCGGGGTGTGCTGGATGACACTTCTTGCCCTGATGGGTTTAGGAGAAACTTCAATACTTGACAAGGAGTTGTCACTATCGCTCTATTGAAGGAAGAAAAATGATTGTTAGTACACTGAGCTATTTTTTTGAGGTATTATATTACCTGTGTGCTGTTGGGTGAATGAGGCATCATCAGTTCTTCGCGCAGTTCCATGGTCCTTATACTGGGGTAGCAAGTGAAAGGGAGTTCGGCGTATGGGTAGTAGTAGTGCAAGGGTTGCCCTTCTACCATCCTATAGTCGGAAAGAAGCATTGTAATTGATTATGTGAGATATCGAATTCAAATAATGCGATCAACACAAAAATTCCCCTTTATATAACTTCGACTCCGATAAGAAAATCATCCGTCACATCACTATCTCTCTCTATCTCATTGAGCAACGGAACAAAACGCTTGAAATTTGTTGTGTTTAACGTATAAAAATAATTATTATATTGTGTAAATTTAAATAAAATGATCATATCTTTGTCTGTTCTTGTTCCGCGCGCTGGAATCGCCATTCGCGTTCTTCTTTATTTGCAGTTGATGGGGGGCAAAGTGGACTTTCGATAATAATAATAAAGAAAGTCATATTAATGTCAATACGAACCAGTAAATTCTGGTTTATGAGTTTTTATGGTCAGAGGGGCTTGATAAAGATTAATAATGATGCTCAATTATTGACCCCGTAACTGGTTTAGAGTGGATGTTGATAACGACTTCTTTTTCGATGTGTTGAGTAAATCATTCCATAAATTTTGTTTTAGACATTTATATTCCGTTAAAAACGAATAGAAAAGAGAAGACGGATGTGTGCCAGGTGCTCCAACACACTTGTCTTTTTTTTATGATGCACAGTAATGTGATTTCCGCATTATGTCAAAACTAGAACAGAGGCTTGTTTATTTATTGTTTATCATATATTAAACAATGAGAACATGACGCAAATAAAGGATGGCTCATTTTACGATGTCTGATACTACCATCTTTGAAACTGAAAAGAACTAAAAGAGGCTGATATAGAAAATGGGTGTCCGAAAATTAAAAAAACCTGGTTGTTCCTCAGTCACGCATCACCGGTTTTCGATACGCCAGAAATAAAAAAATTGCCGGACTAATCCGGCAAAAAGCAAAATATTTTTTTATTTAGACCTTCTTAGTTTTTGAAAAATTTCAAAATCAAGGATTTTTTCATAAATTATAAATTAATTATTTAAAACAACTGTCGACATGCAGTTATTGATTAGTACCAAATTATGGCACGAACGGAATATGTTACTATAAAATATATCGATGGCTTCAATTTAAAACGACGTAATCCTCAAAATGTTTAAAAATTAGGTGTTGACACTGTTGGTGTCGTTTGTCATAATCTCTCATCGAAAGTCGCAGTTACGCGTAAAATGTTCCTTAGGTGCCAAAACAAAAGATTTATAGCAACACACTTCAATAACTAGATTATCAAAACCTTGTAGGTCTGCAGTTTAAGTACCTACTTAAAATGTTAACATGCTTTCAACTTAAGCATTACAAAGGACCAATGAAGTGACGAACTTGGTGATTACACTCCTTTTTGTGAAAAAAGCAAGACCAATATAACACTGAGTATTATCCTTCAAACACTTCCTTTAATTTAAACGTCGCGTCGCATCAAAATGAACGTTATCACAAAAACAATCAGCATTTCAAAAACCATTGTTAAATATTTCTTTTTCCCTCGAAATATATATTTAAAAAATGTGCAGATCCACATAATCCTAGATTATACTATGACATATTTGTTTTCATTGAAAAATTTCTCTCTACCTGTATCAACGTTGTATCAGAATTATTTCCATGATATCTGCTCTATTTTCGAAGTCGTAAATGTAACTCAAGTTGGTGCAATGGTCAAAACACTCAAAAAGCGGATGTGTGAAGATCTTATCCGACCCCTATTTGTGCACAATTATTACAAAAACTTAGATACTATTTTCTGATAAAGATCGGATTTATGAATGAAACGAAAACAGGATCGACTTAATTCATTGAAAAAGGTGTTTGTTAAAAGTGCGACCTTATCTGTTTCCTGTCATCTTGACGTAGGTATTAATCGCAGAGAATAACAAGTTATCTTTTATTAAGTGGTGGTTATAGTAAAGTGTACAGGATGTAGACAATTCAAAATCGAAATGTTATCTACCTTAACATTTTTATGAATGAAACAGATCTATAACGTTTAACTGATATTGTTTTCATGAATGACTACCACTGCGCGTAAGTGTGATTCTACTATTTTTGGAAACTCTCTCATTGTACTATTGTGTGATGATAGTGATCGTTAGTTTTTATCAAAATCCCCCCAATAAAGATCTTTAGTATTTACCACTTTTTAGTGATCATAATTTTATAGTAAAAAAAAATAACAAATTACCATTGAAAAATTCTGTTTTATTGTAGTACTCGAGAAAATAATGGTTCTAGTTTTTACTCTTTTTCCTCTCTTTCTACTTCGGAAAGTTGTCATAATCACAATGTATACGACGTAATAAGTATTACTTATTCTTAAAAAAATCTTTCTTAAAGCAAAAACTCTAACCTAAAGTCGTAAACAATTCACAGGAATCATTTTTAGATACATGGTAAAGTAATCGCACTTAATCTCCGTCTATTTAACCTGACATCACTCATCAGACCATGTTGCAATTCATGCTTGTCAACTCAAGTGTTTGTGAAATAAAATGATTCTCCGTATTGTTTTATTGCGATGATAACCGTTAATCACTATCATATCCCCCCAACGAAGCTCTTTAAAATTACAACATTATTTGCGATATTTTGTAAGCTTCTTTTTTTTTCTCTGACAAATCAGTGACCGATTGTGAAAAGTAAATTACCAATCTTCAGAAAACCGGGAAAAACCAGTTTAACTGAGGTCGGAGGGTCAGAAATACTGCACAGTAATCTTATTTACCCATTAGCACGAATGGTTCATCAAGGAAACATACAGTTAACATATATTAGTAATCTTTATTATTTAATTAAATTCAAACACAAGTAACACGCGTTGGTGATGTACGAAAACGCGTGTTAATGATGTACCACACAGGTAGAACGAAAATAAAGGAGCACTAATAGTAGGTAGCTCCTAGGGGGTATTATGTTGTTTTGAATCTATTTTTGCTGTCGTATTCTCGTACACTTTTATATTTATTTTATTTACACAAGTTGTTATTAAGGATGTCGTATCCAAAAAACGACAGAACACGGTCAGTTATCGTCACTGTTTTTGTTGCACAGAATAATTAATTACTGATCATGAGTTTTCGCGCTTCAAATATTTTGTAATTCTAAGAGAGATCTTATTGAATAGGTTACTGGCTTATCGCATCCCGACTTTCTTTTGTGGCGACATTTGAAATATCGAAGAATTGCGACGTCGCATCACAGAGATATGCCAAATTTCTTTACATGTTAAAGTTAGGTCATTGTGTGAATTAAAGTTATGGCTGCAGTTAAGATGTCCTGATTTTATAGTTAATTTTTTTATTAAATTTTTATTGAAATATGTTGGTGCTTCTTCTGAATGGAGTTTTTGATTTTGCATCCAAAAATGAAAAAACCATGTATAGAAGCTGAAATGAATCAATTTAAAAAGATTATTACAACTTAAGTACTTTTTCAGCTAAACCGAATCTTTTATTCTACCCTATATACTAGTAGAATTGATCGTTCCAGAACTTTTTGCGTCACAAATGAATAAACACTACTCTAAATGAATTTTCGGTTAGAATTTGTGCGCTTTTCGTCTTAAAAATGGATATATGTTTTTGTAAAAATTGTTTTACTGTAAGACACGACGATAGTTGCCTGAAACACTACAGATCTGTATTCTACATATTTCCGAATAAAGATATGTATTACAATTGGAGAAATATATCGCACGTTTTACTGCATATTATTTAAATAAAGGCACGGTTAAGAAGGTAATGGAAGTGTAACGCATGTCCAAAATCCTCCTTTTTGACGTTTCACAACTCGCTACATTGGTGCAACTTTTCCGTTTCCATATGCCTTTCGCCAGTCTGTTTGGAAATCCATTGAGCTAAAACTTTTTGAAAGTACCGAATAGTCCCTTCCAACCTTTACGTGTACCTTCTACACAATAATCAAGTTACAACGTAACCCTAATTTGTCTGTTCCGTCATCTACCAATTAAAATTTATTAAATAAATATTTACTGACAAATATTCGCTGAAACGCACGAGGCATTGGTTTTGTTTTAGAGATGAAGGAAAATTGATGCTAATGAACTGGCTGGCAGTTCACTGGAATAGGAGTTGATAACCCTAACAACTTTTGTATTGCAATAAAAGATTTTATTTATTCTTTAGAATTCAAGGTCAATTAAATTTTTTGCAAAATAATTGGGGATTTTATTTCACCCTATTGTCAGCCATTGTTTAAAAATCAACTTACGTACAGTATTTTATATACGTTTTCAAATAAAATTAAAATATTATAATTTAACACTCGAATATATCTCAGCGAAATCTACAAAATTTAGCTATGCTTTTTACTTGTCGAGGGTAAGAGTCCATTTGACGAATGACCAGTTTCATGTTTTCTCGACGTCATATAACTCCTAGAATACGAAAAAATGGGGCGCCCGTTTCTATCTATCCAACTTTGAGTCGGTGTATTAGGTATAACGAAAATTATTCTTATAAAAACAAAACGATTTTGCTAAACGACATTTTAGGACATTTTTTTTTTGTTTCTGATGATAAAATAAAACATGTCTGCGTCGTCACAACTACAGTCCTAAATTTTTTCTAACTGATGATTAAAATTAAATTTTTATAATAAATTTAAATTCTCTTGCCTTTAATAATACCCCTGAAATATATTTGATGGTAACACTGTAATTTACAATTTATAATATACAGTGAAAGTAGGAGGTCCATTTTTTTTTACTTCCCGAGCATAAGCGAATTGTAATCGAGTCTGTCGGCCGATTTTCTACTTTTCCATTTTTTCGACCTTCCATGACTCCTAGAGTACGAAAAAATAGGTCTCTCGTTTCCGTCTGTCTGTCTGTCCGTCTATCTGCCGTCCCGGATTTTTATTAGACAGATAATCTCCGAAAGTACTGGGCCGATTGTTGTCAAATTTTGTATTTACATTAGGAATATCATGTAGATAGTAAAACGCTAACCAAAATTTGTCTAATCATTCCCACCAATAATGTGATGCCGTCATTTCAAAATTGTACGTAGGTTTTAAATTGTATAAAATAATATCGTCCTACACATGTAATCTCTC